TGAATATGCATTTTTACCCACTGGCCCAGGCGATTCTGATGTGGTGATCTATGACTCATGGGAAGGAAATCCTCTCCTAAAAGTTCTAATTTTCCCAGAAACTAGAAAAAGGTGAGAAGGTAATTTTAGTACCTACCACATTCATTAGGAGCTCTGGTAGCATAGTGCCTAAGGCACTTGACTGCTAACTAGAAGGCTGGCGGTTCAAACCCATCAGCAACTCCTCGGAAGGAATCTACTTCCATAGTGATACCGCCTTGGAAACCCCAGGAGGGGTCGCCAGGAGTCGGGTCTGACTCGATGGCACATACCACCACCACCACCACATTCATTTCCTAGAACAAAGTCTTCAGTGGATCAGCGGATGGCACACTCCCCAGTGATAGTGTAATCTGCTCGGATAGGCTCCCTGCTCTCCTATGACAGGATCTGTGGCCTAAGTACTATCTCCCTATACTCAGTGAGAACTAAAACTGACATGCTGGGCAGGCACACACAGATTCCAGGAAATGCAAACAATCCACAGATGATTCTCTGACTGTATGAGGTGCCGATCCATGATTTCAGTCATGCCTCTCACTATAAATATTTAGTACGTTTGCTTGCTGGACTTCCCTCAACAGTGTGAATATATTTTGTCAGTCAGGAAGCCCTGGTAGCACAGTGGTTAAGCATTTGGGTCCTAACTGAAAGATCAGCAGTTTGAACCTTCCATGGGAAAAAGATGTAGCAGTCTGCTTCCACAAGTATTACAGCCTTGGAAACGCTATGGGGCAGTTCTACTCTATAGTTCAACTCCTATAGAGTGGCTTTGAGTCAGAATCGACTCACTGGGAACAGGTTTGGTTTTCTGGTCAGTTATCTTGGATAAATTCCCCTAGAAATGTCACAAACTCAGGGCTCTACTCTAATTGTTTTCTTCCTGTTTATACTCAAATTTCCTGAATAAAGAAGATGGAGCATTTTGCTGACTGTGCAATTTTTTGGGGGCGGGGAGAGAACAAAAACAAAAAATATGAAGCCAGGGAACTAAGAAGGATTTTGTCACAGGTCTATCAAGTCTAATACAAAAGAAGGAAAAAAAGGGGTGCTATTTAAGTGTTCAAAAAAATCAATGTAAGTTATCCTGGAAGAGAGCAGCACAGAATATTTTACTAAGAGCTCTGACACTCCTAGCTGGCAGTGGTGGCCCAGCGGTGGAATTACAGTGGAATTCCCGCCTTCCATGCAGATGACCTGGGTTGGAGGCCTGACCAATGCACCTCACGTGCAGCCACAGCTTTGCAGTCAATGGAGGCTTGTGTGTTGCTGATGCTGAACAGGTTTTAGTGGGGCTGCCAGACTAAGAGGGACCAGGAAGAAAGGCCTGGCTATCTACTTCTGAAAATCAGCCAGTGAGAACCCTGTGGATGCCAACAGTCCGATCCTGCCGTGCTCGGGGGTCGCTGCGAGTCAGGGTCGACTTGAGGGCAGCTACAACGATCACCACTGGACACCTCATATGCTGCATACATGCCCCGGCAGTGTTCTACAGACACCCCTCATTTATCCTCACATCCTGGGACAGGGGCTCAACTCTCCCCACTCGTAAAAAAGTTCAGGGCCCAGGTATACACACAGC